GCCGGGCTCCCTGGAGGCGCTGGCGGGGGGTGGCTTCGGGCCCCCCGTCCCCCCCCGGGCTTCCCGACTGTGATTGGCGAGCGAGCCTCCCGAGCTCCGGCGGCCGTGACATCAGCAGAAGCGGAGCAAGCAAAAGCAAAAAGGGGGAAGTTCACCAGCAGCACCTCAAGCCCGCTTCCAGTGCAGGCGGACGCGGAGCCGAAAGGGAAGCATCGCTGCGCGCCGGGGTGCCCGTTGCAGCAGCCGCACCAGCGAGCGGAGGAGGAGGAAGAAGCGGCCGCCGCCGCCGAGGCTGGGTCTCCCCGCGGGCTGCTCTTTGCAACCGGGAAGGAATGTGCGCGACCCAGAGCAGGGAAAAGTGAAGTGGAGAGTTACGGGGTAGCCGCGGCAGCCCGGAATTCAACGCCGCTACCGCCGAAGGAGGCGAAGGGCTCTTGTTCTTATTTACGGGCACCCATCCGAGTGAAAAGCGGGTGTTGGTGCTTCGTCGGCCTGGACTCGGGGCGCAGCCTGACGCCCCTCGCGACTCTCACTTTTTCCTGGAGTCCTCCTTGGTACCAGACCTTCGCCTGCCTACTCGCGAGCAGACATGTTTTCCAGCCAGACCGGGCCTTGGAGAAGGGCGCCGGCGGCGCGTTCACTTTCTCCGCACTCTCCATCAGGACAGCGCCCTTTAAGCCTGGAGTGATGCGGACGTCGGAAAAGGTCACCGGGCGAAAACAGCAAAGCGGCACCGCCGCGTCCCCCCTCTCCTGCTCCTGGTCGCGCCCGGGTTAGAGTGAGCGAGCCAGCCCTGCCGGGATGTTTTCTCCTCCGAAAAGTGAGCTGGGATTGTGGCGGACGAGGCACTAGAGCCAGGCGAGGCCCCGGAGCTCGGACAGCCTCGCGCCCGAACGCGGCTTTTTCTCGGCCGCTCCGAAGTGCCGAGGGAAGAAGACCTGGACCAGCCCCCCTCGCCGCGCGCTGCCTCGGTCTCTTCTCCCCCCACGTCCTGCGCCTCCTTTCCCCTGCGGCCGGGACGCCCGATCCCATCCCGCTGTCGGAGCAGAGCGCGGGGCAGGGGGGAGGCGGGGCCGGAGAGCCGAGGGAATCGCGGGACGCCGCTCGCTCGGCCAGGCAAGTTCGATGTGGAGGCTGGCTCGATGGACGTGCCCGAGTGCGTTGCTGCTGCTGCTGCTTAGGCGATCGGCGGCATCCTAAAAGGTAGCGGGGGGTGGCGGAGCTCGGAGGAGGGTGGGATGGCGGGAGAGGAGCGCGGCAGAAGGCAGCACCTGCCAAGGAGCTTCCGGGGGGCACTGTCCGCCTCAGCTTCTCCCCCCTTTCCAGTGACGTCGGTGGCCCTTTCTTCTCCCCTTCCGGCGCTCCCCCAAACCCTTTCTGAATAAAGAAACAATGACCAGCTGTCCTGGATTTCAGGCGACCACGGGCCCTCAGAGGTTCCTCTCACCGCTGCATTACCTTGGTCTGTGCATCTGTTTCCCCAGTTCTCGATAAGCTGCATCCAGGGTGGCCTTTTGTTCCTTAATGTGTGTGTCTGAAGCGGCCACTTAAAGCACCCCAAGGGTTGGGGGTGGTGGTGGTGGAGGATGCATGTGAGGAATACCATACAGAGCAAAGTCCCTGGGTGGGTGCTATCTAATAGTAGTCCAGCATCCTCCTGAACAACCTTCCCCAGTCTGGGTGTACCAGAAGTTGGTCTATAACTTGCATCATTTGCCAGCCATCTGGAGAGCACCACAAGTTGATAAAAGCCACTCTGAGTTATTGCAGTGTATCTTCCTGGGACACGTTTCCAGCAAATATCTGGGTTGAGGCCCCAACACCAGATGGGGTCATTTGTTTTCTTTATACATACCCCATACATGATGCTGAGTTGTCCGACTCCCCTCCCCATCCTAATTTCTTCCCTTCATCTGATGCTGGTGGAGTGCTACTGTGTCTCACTGAAACCCTCCCTTTCCCCTGACACGTGCTTCCATTTGGGACTTGGGTGTGCATGTGTGTGCTTAGTTTCTTCTGCCTTTGACATCAGGCCTTTTTCTGCACCTCTGAGTATTGCCCTGTGCTTTCCTCCTCCCTTTGCAAATCCTGTCCAATGGGTGTAATCCCTCTCTCTAGGCTGCAAATGGTTGCACCAGGATTAGTTACCCCGTTTGAGTAAATATAAAGTGTTCAAACCCTTCACTAGAGCTGAAACAATTCATCCGTCTTTAAAACTGTATCATAAAAATAATTGCGTGTAAACCCTTGCTGTTTTAAGCAAAGTAAGTAACCTGTGCACAAATGATGACATGCACAGACCCATTCAGTTTTCATTAGGCTCTTGTAGCCTTGAATGAATTTAAGCGCTGAGCAATGTTATACCAAATGCCATTACAGTCCAGGAGAGGGCGTGGAGGGTGAGGAGTCATAGGGAAGAGACGAAGTTAGGTTTCCGTGAAGACCCACTAAGTATGGTTTGCCTTTATCTCGAGAAGCAGAAAACACAGTAAAGATTAATATGCACACTTCATTATCAGAACACCAAGTCCCAATGATGCACACAGTTAGTTGCACATTTTAATGTACAGCTGATACATTATGCATACTGACTTTTAGGCTGGTTTATGCATACTTAATTTTATGCTGTCTTTGCCACTTCAGTCTATAATCTATATTTTAATCAGTAGAATCATGATTTTCACTGGTATGTGCCTATATCCAGTGCTGATTCCCTAAGTGATGGGAAGTTCTTCCTGCTAAATTTATACTACAGTTCAGAACTGCAGGCCTTTCTCCATTAATAATGCTCCTCTTTCAAGTTTACTTCATAACTAAACTGTGAGTTATCTTCCCTTTTTATTGATTTTCTCTCTAAAATCTAAGCCATGTTTTCCTTCTAGTCAAGACGGTATAGTCTTTCCTTGTTGGAACAAGCTACCAAGCTGCTCTCAAAGATACCAGTCATATGATGCTTGTTCCCAAAGCTGGCAGTCCATCATATCCCCCCACTCCCAACCCCAAAAGCAAACTCCAAACCTGTGTCCTTTGAAACAGCCAACCTGTGTGCATCTGCCTATTTCAGGAAATTCTACTACCTTAGCCCTAGTTATAGATATTTGGGGATTGTCCTTGTCCTAATCATTTCATTTCTCTTTACTCTCTGGAATGAACATCTACTCTTGAGTAATTGGGAGTCACAGTCTGGCTTTACAAATCTCATTTTGGCCAATCTGGCAATTGGTTTTCTCTTGATACGGTCTGTGCCGTGGATTAACATGGTGGGATCTTACTGCTAAGGCTATGAAAGGCACCCCAATTTGTTTGTGACCATGGTATTCTTCCCCCCAGCTTTCAGCAGAGAACTGAGTGGCGTGTTAAGGGAGCCTTGAAAGCCTGTGCCATTGAACCTCCAATTCATCATACAGTTTGGATAAGGAGTGGCCACTGGTGGGGGGGAGGGAGGTTGGAGACTTTTATTACAATTCTCACTTCATGTGGCTTGCAACATGAACATAGTTCACAGTTGAACATATTGCTAGGAGGACCTGTCCGTGGAATGTTGTCTTGGCTTGGCCCTTCTGCGTGCTCCGAAGTATAGAATTGATCATGCCCCCCCTCCTTCCATTTGAGTCTAACTCCCTCTTTGGACTTTGTGTTGTATAAATAGGTTGATGACCATGGTGGCCAGGACCTGCTCTCTACTAGTGCTGCTGCTTTATCACACACTGCTAGGGGGCTCTGCCAGCCTCATCCCTGAGGTGGGCGACCGGCGAAGATTCAGTGCTGATTTGGGCCAGGCTGCTCCGCTGCAGCTCTCGGAAGAGATCCTGCGGGAATTTGAACTGCGTCTGCTCAATATGTTTGGGCTTAAGCGGCGGCCCACCCCAACCAAGAATGCCATTATCCCTTCCTATATGTTGGAGCTCTACCATCTGCATACGAGTCAGAAGCCAACTTCCATGGACTATAGTCTAGAGAAAGCGAGCAGCAGGGCCAATACTGTCAGGAGCTTTCATCATGAAGGTAAGGAAAATAAGTTGTTTTTCAGCTCCCACTTCAATAACCTGATCCAATCAAAATTAAAATTGCTCTGACTTGAATTATTGCAACCTGCAGCTCTGGCTTTGTCAAGATATTATGGCAGCGTGGACACTTGTGACCTGTTATTCACTCACTTGCAAAGCAATACTTGCAATCTAAACAATAGCAAGCCCCTTCCTTGTAGGTATATATTTTTCCTGACTGAGTGATGACCATCCATGTGCTGTGCTGCAGTGGAGACCAATTAAATCCCTAAATTTTCAAATTTAAGCACATCTCTCACATTGAATTGGCCCATTTGAAAATGGCCCATTCAAATGTAAAACTTTCCTTTACCCATCTGTGTAAAGGAAACAAGAAATTACTAGAAAATTCAAGTAGATGAAATGTAATTGTCCTTTTTGACATCATCTCTGCTCAAACTCCTCTATGCCCTTAGTACAGATGTGCTTCAGCGGTTTGTAAAATTAACTGGTGTTCCAAAACAGGGTTGGGGTATCTGTGGCTTTCCAGATCGTGCTGAGCCACACTCCCCAGCATCCCACATTATAGGCTGTGACTGCTGGGAGTTGTAGTTTAGCAACACCTATAGGGCCACTGCTTTCTCAAACCCCACCTGAAACCAGTGCCAGACCCTTAATCGTGCGTTCATGGACATGTGGCCTAGCTTTCTGTTCTCTATATAACCTTTCAGTGGGAAACGTCAACTTGAGTTGGTGTTGGAAACTTTCAGGCATATAGACATCAATATGTCTGAAGCAGCGTAGAGAATTGTGATGACTTGGTTGTGCCCAAGTTGTGCAGCGAGAGTGGAATCTTGTTGCTGCAGGGTTACAAAACTGCCTGCTGCTAATTTGAGTATCCTAAGTGGAAATCTTGTAAAATATAATATCTGAACCATGACATGTTATACATCCCTCCCTAGCATTCACGATAATAAGCATCATTGTGACTTGTTTGACAATTAAAAAGCACTGCGACCAACTTTTAGTTAAGTTTTCAAGAATTGACATGTGGCAGATGCTTGAGTTGAGGCAAATGAGGTTTCAGGGTGATGGGCTCTGCTGTCCCTTTTAAAGACGAAGACCCTTGCTTTATTCTGCGCATGCTTATTGTGGGTGGCCAGTTTGCCTGCTGTGGTAAGATCAGAATTTTGCTCAAGGAAATGTGCGTGTATTGATTATATGAAACAACCTGGAGCAAAACTGGAAAGGAGTAGAAGGAAGGCCATATTTTTCTCCCCTATAAATAGCTAGTAATCATAGCAACAATGAAAGTTGTGTTTCATTAAACATGTAGAGAGCATACTTTTCATTCAAGTGATGTAATTGTTCTAGGCCTTTGCATGAATTTTCTTTTGAAATTATTTTACTTGACCCATAGCAGATGAAGAAGGTGGATTTCTTTTTCTTTATTTTCATGCACAGATTCTATCCAAATTAGTTTCCACTGAGAACTGTTGGAGACTAAGCAGTAAGAAAAGTCCATCGAATGTACAGTTGGCTGTAGGGTCACTTGGAAGGTTTTCTAATCCCTATCTAATCCCCGTGAGAGATCAGTTTGACAATCAATTGTATTGTCTCCGCTATGACTTTGTCTTCTGTTTAAATTTTGATTTAGTGTAGACCTAAGGTAAGCCCTTTAGAAAGCAAGCTTGATAAGTTTTAGAGCAGCTGTCCCCTGGGTTTCATAGGCAACTGGGGCTTACTGAGATTAAAAGCCACAGGCAAATATACATTTACTAAAGGCAAAACAATTGTGAGTTAACGCAATACACTGCCTGTGCAGTAGGGTAGTTCTAACTGTCTTTTAGAACTAGTCTATTTTATTAAATTAAAGGCATCTTGTCCAAAATGTTCTGCAAAGTGCGCATATTAAGGCTCTTAAAACTTGAACAAACTTGTCCACAGCACTACGGTGTAAAATATTAGATCTTCATGTTGCAAACAATTATTTTTTTTAGCTCCCTGCTCTTTGTTTTTCTATCCAAACTTTTCTATATGGTCACACATCTCATTCTTTCTGTTTGTGATTCTAGGCACAATTTGTGCAATTAGTTCAGATGCATATAAATAGCTATTTAATACCATCTCCAATTAATATATCTAATAAAAATACCTGCCTAGTAATAGCATAAGCAAAAGATTAGTTATTTCCAACCTGTAGCAGGGGTGGGGAAGGAAGTGGAACTAATTAAATTTATGGATCTTATATGAACCACAGTAGGTCAGCAAGGATCTCTGAGTATTAATAAACATCTTAACCATGATAGCAACTCCCCACCACTGTCTGAAATTAAGAAGCTATGGGGTAACAAGGAGTGTGGGAGGGCTGATCTTAAGTTCAGTTCTGGCACTCAAAGCTAATTTTTTTAATTCTAAGTGTATCTTCTTACATTTCTTAGGTTTGTGGACAATCTTGGGGTTCTACTTGAAACACAAGGTAGTTCCTGCAACCTTAAAGTTTGCCCAACCCTAACCTGCAGGTTCCTTATTCAGTTTATTTCATCCCACCCACACCTGTGCTAATGCAATACAGGTACACCTGCAGAAGCTACTTATTCACTGTTTTCTGCAGCCATTACCAAATCAAAAGACTACAAGTGCACAGCTGTTCATTTTTACATTAGTGGCCTGGATTCACTGTAAAAGTAAAGGAAAAAGCAGACTGAACAGGTTATAAAGCTAGTATGGCCGAGAAAAAAACCCACACACATAAATATGTATTCTAGATTTAATTAAATTTGTGTACAAGGGGTGTGGCTATACTGATTATGCTAACTAATAACAAGTCTTAATGCAGTGAGAGGTTAATGTTGTAATTTAACCTTGTGCTGTGTTTACGCTGCTTTGCGTATAAATATAAAACTAATTAATGGGAGAATGTATATTGCATTGTCCACTTGTGCCAAATTGCATTTTAATGCACAGTTACATATCCACATGGTTCAGGGGGAAACTGATACATATTTCAGACTACAGATTTATCCACCTTTGCCTGGGAATAAGTCCATCTAAACTCCACAGAATTTACTTCTGAGTAAGTGTATATACTTACTTAATTACTACCACTCAACTAAGCCTTATTCCTGTGAATTTCATCATTTATCCTTAATAACCTTGGGAATGAGACACTTAACTTGAAAAATGTGGTCACTGCAGATTTAAAATTCTCTAGTTTCCAGCCTTTGTGAAGACATGGCTTTTGCCCTCTTCCTACCCCCTCCTTTTTTTTAATGTATAGATGTCTTGCTAAATTGCTACGCTGTTCATCAGTGTTCCTGCTGAAGCTGTCAACTAAAAACTGTCTTGGGTTGGCTTTTAACACTCAATCACATCTAATATTTGCCTAATTCTTAAGGATTTTGTAGCCCAGCTTTGTTCCAAGAAGCTGGAGGGGTGGGAGTGGGGCTTTAGATTTGAAAAGTGGATTTGAACCTTCTAATGAGTTAATTGCCTATGCTGCCTATGTAAGATAGTAATTGTCTTCCAAAACCTTTGGGGAACCTTGGTTTAGAAATGCAGTTACCATCCAGTGATTTTTGGAAGTCCACTCATGACAAGTTTACCCTTTCTTCAAGCAACTTCTCAGGGTGGCTGATAGGAAGATGGGGTATTGAAAGAGAAATACAATAAAAGTACTTTAACAGCAACATGTAAAGCAACATTTCTAAAGAGGGCAGGCAGAATAAAGTCAGAAGGATTTGATTAGATAGGAAAACCTAGGAAAAGAAAAAGGATGTTATAAAGTAGCTTCTGATATGCTCCTGTGGAAAGACTTCCAAAGTCAGGGCCCTATTATTGGGAGACTATTTTCTGGGATACCATTCTGTTTCTGTTTCCAGCTCAGACTCTTCCAGCACTGTAGAGTCTCTATGGAAGATGTTATGCAAGCACATATGAAGAGAGGCATGTTTAGAGGAAATTTAAGTATGGGTTCCTGCTCGTCTGATGGTTGCAGTGGGCAAAAGCAGTGGTGCTCTTTTTACTCCCTTGATTTTTATAGCCCCAAAGATCTGCCTTATGTACAAACCTGGTTTAACTATGGTATGTTACCATTCAGTGTTGCAAAAGGGGATCCCCTTCCACACAGTCTTGTGTATCTGCAATGTAGGATTGCCAAGTGTCATCAACTTTCTGAGAAACTGCTGTGCTATAGCCATCACTGAGGATCTTGGAGAGTCAGTTCTGAATGATCAGCACTTTAATTTAATGAAAACCATCCTTGTTACATTCAGCAGTGGCAAAACTCTCTGCATTGTTGCATCAGTTGGGGCAGACTGAGGGTATGAGATAAAACTTCAGTGGGGTGGAGAAATGGAGCATAAGACAACACAACCTTATACAAACTGAGTTAAAAGTAAGTACCATAGAGCTTGGTGGATTTTGCCCCTAAGAAAACAGGCATAGATGACAACCCTGATTGTTAAATTCTTGGATTATAGATGGAAAGGGAGCAGTAATTACACAGTACCAAAGTTAGATTGGGGTGTGTTTTTTTTTTTTTAGTGTGTTGGTTTTTAAAAAAGGTTTCCATGGTCATTTGTAGGACATTTAGACTGGACTTAGATATACAGGAAAATAAGTTGCCTTGAGCACATGTGGCAAACTCATACCTATGACATACCTAGGATGGAATTATTTGGGATTTATAAAACTAAATCATAGGCTGTGAAGGTAACCCAGGGATTACAAACACATAGAATGAGAGGTAAACAGCAGCTGGCTATGGCTTGTTGTTCTGGTGCCCCCTCCCTAGCCACTG